TCATCTGTGGGTCAGCAGTTCAGATATGGAGCACGAAAAATATCCAGGGCCTGTCTCGTTTTGAGAGAATCTGTGGTCTTAGACTGTACTTGGCAACCTGTGTGTTTGGACAAGGAGATTGGCTTATTACTCTCTAAATAGAAGAACTGGTCGCCGCTGGAGTGAAGTGGGAAGAATTCATCGGACCCCCACCAGGGCAAGCTTGTTCCCAGAGAAAAGAAAGAAAGAATTAATTGGAAAGTAAATAATCTAACTTTGTTCATGTTCATGCTAACCGCGCCATCTAAGTTTGCTCACTTCCTTTTCAGTTCTAGTATGAACTAGCCTCACTGTACTGTAGCTAACTGCGCTGTGAATTGTGGTTGAAGGGCTTGAATAAAATTCAGCCCAAATGAGGGGGCGTGTCCACAACACCTGTCAATCAAAAGTGAATGGGAAGCTACGCTACTGTGCTTGGGCTGTAAAAATTAAAGCCCATTAACAGGAATAAACCCAAAGATATATCATATATCCTGGGTTTTTTCCTGTCACTGTTTGGTGCTGTTGCTGCTCTAGGTCCTACCAATATTAAAAGCAATATGTTCCTAAGGTTTTTAATAATAGTTTCCTCTTTACTGTAAAAGATAGGGGTGGGCTTAGCCCTGTTTAGTCCATATCATATACCAGCCGTTCCACTGGCTCTTCTCCCAACAGCGCCAGAGGTCTTTCCCTCTCCTTCTTGGCGATTCAGTGGGTGTGGCGTGTGGGCCACATTTGACTCCTGGATATTGGATTATAAAATATGTAAAGAGTTTATTTGACCTTTTCTCTTACTCTTTCAGTCAGATCCTTGATTAGGGTGGTTCCTATAGTTTATAAGTAAATTGTTTGTTTGAGCTTGAAAATATTAACCTATTTTGTTTTACTTAGCTTTACTTAGCACCAAAATGTCCCTTATTGCCAAACAATGCATTCTGCCCCTCAACACACAGGAATGACTTATCAAATTGTTATAAGAATCAAATGGCTGCGGCTCAGAAGGCCAGAGCGGTCGTCCCCTATCAGAAAGTTGGTGGTTTGATCCCCCGGCTCTTCTGCTCCACAATGTCGAAGTAATCCTTGTGCAAGATACTTTAAGCCCCAAATGCTGTGGAATGTGTATGAATGTGTTACGTTTCTGTTGAATGGGCTTCTGTCAGCGCTGTGTGAATGTGTGTGAAAGGGTGAATGTGGCAATAAAGCGCGTAGTGTAAAAGTGCTTTGAGTGGTCGGAAGACTAGAAAAGGCGGCTATACAAGTACAGGTCCATTAAGACCTTATTTAGTATATAAGCTTCCACACACCCAGGGCACAGGAAAATAATGACAAAAAATGCAAAAATACTCATCTTGCGAATATGTCTTAAAATACTATTCATACCGGACGCAAAAAGAACATTAATAAAGAAGACCATACATTTTACAGTTATAAATATTGAGAGGTTCAGTCATGTACATCTTTTAAAATTTAAGCACGCAAATTGTATCAAGCAAAATCTAATAGGCTAATTTAAACATTGATGACTGAACACTAAAAACTACTGACAAGATCAGTTTTTCCTCCACTTGGTGAACTTGACAAAATCATATATCATTTTACACAATGTTTTGCTTTAAGAATCATTACGTCTGTCTGGCAGTTTTCTGCTTTAGCTGCGCACACTCCCTGCAAGGTATATGCAGGTACAAAAATACAGCCTACAAGTTTGGGACTCGCTTGGGCAAAATCCTCTGTGCGTGCCGTACAAGCAAGCAACAAAAACATTGTCACAGTTCTGATACTTACCAACTGACATTGAATCCTAGAGCAGGTGCTCATCCAAACTAGACTACATTTCAGTCACCATGCAGAGTCTCTCTACAGTAGTTGGCAATCACAGGAGTCGTCCTGCAGTATCTTTCAATGTAAAATGAGCCTTAATGATTTCTAACCAGGGATAAAATAAGGCATAGATCATAGGGTTTAGACAGGAGAAATAGACAAAAAAAATTAACAAGGCAGCAGATGAAGCATTGACAAGTTACTTGGGCTGTTAGCACAACACAAAATATGGCAGGTACATATTAGTAAACACAACTACAAAACACCAAGAGTCCCCTGGCCTGCCTTCATTTCCAGATTTCTTAGCCAGTTACTTTCACTGATTTTTGGAAGTGTGACAGCTGCATCATGTGACGCATGGCACGAGCCTGAGACACAGCCACCACAATAACTCTCCAACATAATACAAAACAACAATAACAGTAATGGTAACATGAACGGAAAAAATAAGACTGCAAATTCTAGCAATGCAGTTAATGAAAGATACACACTATCCCTTGCAGGAGTTATACCCTTGCCTGGTTTGTTTCAGGTTATCCTTTAGTATCATACTGTGAAAGATTACAGAACACATCCAACACAGACCAAATACAGACTTGGACTCTTTTTTGTGTTGACTTTTGGTGGAGTAATGCAGAGGATGACAAATAGCCACATAGCCGGTCAATAGATACTAAGCAAACATGGTTCCTATTGAGCAGCGGCAACAATGATGCTAGATATTGATACACAACACACATGAGGTCACCAAAGAACAGCAGCCGTCTGTGATCATGAAATTTGAAAGAAAAGAGGAGGCCCACGAAGAATCTGAGACCAGCCAGAGAGAAGGAGGAGGAGGTTCGGGGGAGTGTGCAGCTGCCTGGAGAGGAAGACCAGCAATGATATTTATTAATTATTTATAGTGTCAATCATAACTTCCGATAAAAAACAGTAAGAGCAAAGACCTTAGTAGACCTAGACACTCACTACAACAACATTACTTGTGAAAATTCTCACAATTCAGGCAGTACTTTTTATTACTATCATTATAGTACAACTATCTATTCATAAATAAATTATTTATCCCTACTTGAAGTGGGAGATAGAGACTGATGACGCAGCAGTTAAGAATGAAAGTGAGCAGAGAGGATGGAAGGACAGCAAGAATGTTAAATCAGCATGGCCCTCCAAAATGATGCCGATGTCTTCCTGCAGGAGGTGGTTGAGGAGTTGTGGAAAGCAGAGTTCACTTCCCTCCAAGGTCTCCATCAGCCCCCAAGAGGAGAATCTGCTGGTCTGGCAGCTTTTATGACCAACCCTTTTAGTGCCTATACAACTAATTTATCTCTATCCTCCCCTGCCCACACTTCTTCTCCTCACCCTCCTGCTGCGTTCCTTCTGGCCATCAGAGATTTGACTGTACTATTCTTCTGTGCTTATCCTCATAACTTTGTTTAATGTTTATTATGTCCACATTTGGTTAACAGCCAGATGCTCAAGTTGAAGTTTAGGTTAAGTAAAGCTGTACATTTTAACTCCCTTTAAGGGAGTAAAAATCCCTTATCGTTACTTTTGCAACCAAAATTATAAATTAGGGCCTGAGCACTTGACCCCGTGCGAATTGTATTTGAAAGGAATTCCTTTTTCTTTTCCACTTATTATATCCCCCCAAAATGATCAACGATTTTTGGAGGTCGCAACAGCTCGAAAACTCGCGCAGGAAGACTAGGAGGACTTTGTTTCAAATACACACCGTGCAAATTCGCCAGAAATGACCGCTAAATCAGTTTATGGGCCCCTGAGGGGGCCATTTTGCCATTCTAATCCGAAATTTTTCGCCTTGACTGACATGTGCGCTGCATTTCCCATGGAGTCTTTCGTATCATATTGCGACCTCCAAAAATGTGGATACGTTTTGGGAGGAAAATAAGAAAAAGAAAAAGAATTCCCTTCAAATAACAATTCGCACAAGTCAAAATAATGAAATAAGGCCAAGGACTGATTCCCCCTGTGGGACACCCGAATGACAAGAGAGGAAGAGAGGAAATGTAGCGGGTAACTGCAGTGGGGTTCCCTAGTGGGTAATAGGGTACTATGAGCTCTTTAAGATATGAAGGGGCCCTGACCATGAAGAGTTTTGCTTAGGTGAGAGGAGGGAATTTTAAATTAAATATTCTAAGTTTTACAGAGGAAAAAGGGGGGGGCCCCAATGCAGAGAAGCTAGTACAGGAGAGATGGGTTGATCTCTTTCCTAGTTCTGTCAGGGTAATCGTTGCTGCACGCGTTTTGAATTAATTGGAGCGTCCTTTAATGGACTTATTTAGGGCACCTGATAATAAAGGTTGCAGTAATCCAGCCTAGAGGTAACAAAAATGCATGGATTAGTTTTTCTAATCAAAGATACTCCAAGATTCCTGAAGGAAGCACTCCAAGTCCAGCAAAACAAGAGCAGTAAGAATTACACCGTGGAATGTCAGATTCACAAGTGGGTGGCGAATTGTATTGGACACCAATTTGACCAGGTCCTTGAAGCGTAATTGGCTAAATTTTAGCTAACTGCATGTGGCGGGTAGAGGCTCTGATAAGGGTAAAACAATGTACCTTAGAGTAAATAGGGGGGGGTAATTGATCCTTTGTTTTTATTTTCTAAACAAAATAAACTTTAAGGATCTCTCACAGTTCTACAGTCCAATGGCACAGACCAAAGCTGGGGCAGGGTTTACTAGAAAGTTTGATTGTTGTTTTTTTAGAGGCAACTAGATTGGAGAAATAGGAGGACTCTCACTCTTTACGCAGTGCGAAATGAATTAAAGTTCAATTATTTCCTCATATGAGTCGATGAACCCTGTAGTTACGACGTTTTCCATTTCTGTTAGGCCCTTCCTGCATTTTATATC